GATACTGTTGAAAGATTTTGATTAGATAAATCTGCGTTTGAACACTGATTTTTTAACTCAGTTGATGTTGTAAGCGATGGCAATGATTGAGATATTTCATCATCCGCTGGAGACGATGTTGTTGTTGTTGTTGTTGCATTATTTGATGGATTCACTTTCATCGTTGGAGACATTTCTGAAATTAGAATCATCTTAATCTTTATTCATAAAACAAAATTAAACGATAGGTACACAAATACGTAGGAATCTGAATAAAAGCGACAATAGACTAAATATTGCTCACACGGTAACCGGCATGATGTTCCCCAGAAGCACTTGCTCCCGGCACAGCGATTCCACTACAGGTTATTATTCATGCAAAATTATGGATGTGAATGAGTGAAGAGGATAATCATGTGTCCATAACTGCAGTGACACAATCCAAGGGGGAAAAGGCGGATTTTCAAGATTCCGAATCCCACAAAAATCTCGGGAATCCCAAGAATCCCATAAAAATCCCTAAAAATCCCAAGAATCTCATGAGAATCTAGGGAATCCAACGAGAATCCCTGGAATCCCATGAGAAATCCCAGAAGTCCAGAAAATATAATTTATATTCTGGATTAATAAAAGTATCAATCGAAGCAACTTACGAAACAAACTATACAGATAAGCTAGTTGCTGTGAAACAAGGACTTCCTGCCATAAAAAGTATAATACAAATTCTTGTAAAATTCCTAATTCTCATCGCCGAAGAGAACAAATTGTAACATGTTGATTTATAACACGAATCTGGTTTATGCTCTTGATATTATAAATTGCATGTATTATCTACGTTGCATAAACAAAACAAAATGATGTATATAATTATCATGCTTAGAAAATTTAGTAAGACGCCCGTCCATGCCGCGAAAATCGTCTTGATTTTGATGACATGGGCGTCTTCAGTCGAGACAAATTATAATGCAATCCTATGCGCAAAAGATCTGAAAAAGTCGTGTCTACGCGGCGTATTATTGAACTATTCTAGTTAATACATATAAATAATAAAGCAATTGATATGTAGAATCCAATCTAACAAAAAAAGTCGAACTCTTTCAATTATGATGCAACTCAAGGGGGAATTGGCGAGTTCTCGGGATTTCGAATCCCATGGGAATCCTGGAACCAAATAGAAATCCAGGGAATCCAATGAATATCCAAGGAATACTTAAATTAGATGTCTGAACAACACTGAAATCATAACTCATGCTCATGTATAACAAATATCACTTCGTTCATTTAATATTTTGAAACCCGTTCCTGTAAGAGAACCACGTAGTGGTATGGAAAATAAAAGTGTGGATGTGAATATTTTGCGGGGATGGAAAAAATGACATAGATCATCACCCTCGTCGATATCGTAAACTGAACGTTCTGGGGTATAGAAACTACTGATTTCTAACGAAATAATGGGATCTTAATCGTGACATCTAGTACGTATGATTATTTATACAGTTCAATTAGGTGAGAGATCTCAAACATTTTGTACAATAACGCTCATATTGATTCATAGAAGAATGAATCGGACTACAACTTATTTGACATAACATATATAGGTGCGATAGAGCTAAGGGACTAGCTCCAAAGACGAACTTGCGGTCCTTTTAGTCTATTCAATACTTAGTAAGTCGTAGTTCTGCGATCAACACTATTCTTCCTAGACTGAACAATAATGATTTGTCCGTAAATGTTAATACAAAAAAAGCGGGTAAATCATCTATTGACTTTTTACCAAATGATTGGAACAGTACAATAACCGATGAGCTGATATTAGTTCATTATCCGGCTCGTTTAATAAAATAGACATGATTAATGAGAAAATGTAACGGGTTGGTTCTGATCGATATTACTTTGATTTTTACTGCCCTTTCACGGACAAAGGAGAATAAAACAAGAGCTTTTTTGTCTCTAGTATTGATGCATATCTTATGAAAACATTTGTCTGAACTTAGTGATTACTGGACTATTTTTCTTCTGTGAAACAATAAATATCCCTCGACTTTCACAGTTCAAAGCAAGCTTAGAGCCAATAATTGAATCTTCGAGAAAAAGGCAGACAGCTAGAAAACAAAAAGGATAGAGATGCGGAACTCGATGAAGATCTTGAATATTCGGGCGAAGTTCAGACATTCTAGTGCATGTAGAATCTGTTTTGGTCCTATCCAAAAGTAGTGCGTTGAACTTTTCATTAAAGTTTTCAAAAATATCACACAAGATAGGAAAAAAATGGTTTCGAAACAATCAGCTTCAAAATGGTCTCATCATCTTCTCCTTTGTGATAATTTTAAAACGACTATTTGTCAAGTTTATAATCTAGCCTATAATCTTCTTTCCAAATTTGATTTTAATTTCGTTTAGAAGAAAACAAGAGAATCGGTGATAAAATAAAGTAGATCAGTTATACGAATCTAGTGTAGAAAAAACCGTATTGTCTAATCTGACGAAAATCATTACAAGTCATTAGATCAAGAGTCAAACTTGTATTTAAAATATAATGTTGCTTTTTTATATCCAAATCAAAGAAATATAGCCGATCCTAAGACAAAATTTATAATTTGTGTTCTTTGTCAACTAGCAATAAATCTCAATTTCATACAATAAGAGTCTCCGAACCAATTTTTTCTTCACTTTCAAACTATTTTTTTTTGCGTCAAAATTAATGCCAAAAACAATACAGTCATAGATAGAGCCTATTATCTTTTAGTCGACAGAAAGGCTGTGCTGCTACTTGATTGCTTTAAGCATGTTCAACTGTCAGATTACGGAATGAATAAAAAGTTACATTTAATATGTCATAGATTCATTTGATTCAACATATTTCTTGTATCTCATTGATTTATCTTATTGCTTGCTGCTGTTCGCTATTCTACCTCGAACATTTTCTCTTAAAAATAAGAAAGTAAACTGTCGTGTTGTCAAAATGGACTTGATACCCATCTAATTAGGTTAAGTGCCTAGAATTTTAAAATAGATAACCGTAGTGAACTACCTTGGGGTATGCGCATGAAATACATGAGCATTAGGAGCAAGAGTGTCATGTGCTCTGGGCAAATCTTGTTATCTGAACAGGTCAAACATATGGGAAAAAACGTTCGCCTAGGAAATGATTTTCCTCAGTAGTTGTGTGCAGCTTTTCAAGCCATTTGGTAAAGCAATGGAGCCTTGATACTGAGTTCTGTCAGATTTTGAGGACTAGAGTGAAGATCGTAGAGGTTAAATATGAATTTCTGGAATGCCATTTGTTATTATAAAAATTCCTGGAATCCATGGGATTCTTGGATTCCCAGAATCCCACGAGAATCCCGAGAATCCCATTGGAATCCTGGGAATCCTGAATCCGCCTTTTTCCCCTTGGTTTAATTATTCAATTCTCATAATGATTTCAAAAAATATCTTGTATCTATTATACCTGAGATGGTTGAAGGTCGTTGAGATGGTTTTTCTATAGTAGACATAGATACACATGTTCCAGTATCGGGTGTACATGGCCGAGCTAAATTAAAACAGTCAAAAAGAAAACCATGTATTCAGAATGCTTTTTTTTATAGCAACGTGGCAGTGGTAGTGGTTGCTGCGGCGGTGGTGGTGGCGGTGGTAGTGGTGATGCTGTTCCTAATTGAAATATCCCATAAAAATCAGAATGGAAAATATAAATAAAAAAATACTCGTATGATTGCAGTTAACATTAATATGGTAATGTGAATTTACATCAACGCGGTTGTCATCTCGATGATCTTCATTTAAAGTATGTACAAAACTTAATAAAAAACAAAAGAAAACAAAACAATTCAATCTATTATTTACCCACTCGAAGATCATGACAAGATCTAGGTCGTGATCGTATTGTTAATGGTATAACAATTTTCGCTGGTCGATGAACACATATTGGGACACAGCGGCAAGGTCGGCATCGTTGTTCTTGTATTTTTATCGCGCCTAATTATTCTCAAGGAAATGATTAGTTTTGAATTTCAGTTATTTAACGTTTACCGCAATTTCCAAACAATCCATCTCCTAAACCATGATGAAGTGATAATGGTCTCCATGGTATCATTGCCATTCGTAGCTGTGGTGGCGCTGGTGCCCATCCTGCCATTGCCATTAGTCGTGGTGCCAACCTGTATGAATTGTAATAAGCAATAGGACGAAAATCACCTATTTGTATTTAAATAAAATAACTTGATAAATATTTGAAGACTTCGACTTTTTTTCTCGTGAACATAAACATACTGAAGCATTCTTGTACAAATCTTCGATTTTTTGCATGACCATGATGATTCTGAACTGATGCAAAATCGCGCTCACAGCAATCTGGTATACTGCACATATCGCAACCGCATGATTTTATTGAATGGTCGTGATGATTCTGCATTGATGCAAAATTATCTTCACGCGAAACTGATATATCGCATCTATCACGACTGCAAGGTTTTATTAAAGCAACAGATAATGGTTGACAACTGTGACATGGTGAACAACACCGATCACACCGTTCAATGTTTCTCATGAGAGAATTTTTGCTGTTGTTGAATATTTATCTAAAGATGAAAAGTCCGGATGATAATTAATGCGATGTGCATCCTTTTCAAGGGGGGGGGGGGGGCCCCACCCCCATCCCGAATTGCCCCAAAATTTGCCAGTTTGTAGAGTTGTACCCCAAGGGTCTAGGGTTAAAATATTTCGCGGGTTGGACGTTGTTTGGTGGAGTTATAAAAATTTAAAAATTTAAAAAAAATCGATTTTTCCAGCTATTTTGATGTCAACGGAAAAAGTAATTCTTACCGAGTCCCCTACTCGTATAAAGCTTTCTAAAATAGTTTCGTCTTTGTAAACTTGTTCACTAGATTCCTCTCTATGGGGTGACATTTTTTTATTTCAGAAAAAGATTCGTTTTCGTAGAGCTTGAAGGTTCAACATTTCTCTGAAATGGCATTTTTAAAACAATGAAAAAGTAGTCTTCGGGAAGGATTGAATTATACCCTTTAGCATGATTAGTTTTCAATGAAACTTACTGTGCACAAGAGGATATCTACTAGGTACCTCATCGTTAAATTTCAAGGGTCTAGCATCTTCGGTTCGACAATAATCCCATTGTGTATACGCTACTATTCATATTCCTCTGTTTTAAAGATAATTTTCGATAGGAACATCGTAGGGACCTGCGGTTTTCACTACTCGATAGACAAGGCTAAGGGCTACCTATGGGTAGTGAAATCTGATTGACCACTTCTTGACCAATCAGGTGCGTAACTAATTTGATTAGTCAAGAAGGGGCCAATCAATATATACAGGGGAAGAAACGACATATGCGAATAATCTCTTACTAGTCGATAAGAAATTGTTAAACGAAAGGAGACCACCTTTTGAACCCATTAGATTTTGAAAGTCTTGTTGGCTGAGCCCCTGACCACGATAAACGGTAAAAGATTTCTTGAAACTTGCCGATTGCTCCTTATGCAATTGTTCCAGTTCCAGATGCAGTTTTCGAATGAAAAATCCTAATTTGGACATCGCTTCCGTATCAAGCGATCTTAACCCACGATTAAGCATACCATAGAGAAAAATCTCTTTGGTATACCACCAGACTGCTGATTTCTGGTGGTAGTTACGCTTAAATTCATTTATTTCTTCTTCTGGGATGCTTTGTTTTTGGCAAAATTCCACTAAGGTGTTCATAGATTTAGAGACGGCATCATCGATCTCTAATATAATATCCTTGAAAATTACCGAGTACATATAAGTCGGCGGTAATTGATCAAGATTTTTCTCATTGGACGCTGTATCTGACGTGCATTGCTGCGGAACGAAACTCATCGGGATCGAATCATGATCGCATGCCCGTGTAGCCTTTGCTAATTGTTTGCATATGGGCTCTATTTGACGATATTTGTAAAGGACATCTAAATGTTCCTTCATCGATTTCATTCATATATTTATTTTCTGAATCAAATTTATTTTCAATCTCGCTCTATTGCAAGTCTCGATCTTTTCTTGACGACAAAACACTAATCTGAAGAAGCATTCAAGTCATTCTGTCAATTACTAAAATGAGCTGAAAGTAATCATTCAAAAATTCCATTAAATTTGATATCCTATTTCAAAATGAAGTCATTGTCTTAATCAAGAATGTTAGTAGACTTTGTTGAATCTCTTAAATGATACCAGTGGAATTCGAAACGCTTCCAGACACAGCTATTCATTGATCTATTTAGAACTTTACTTTATTTTATTTTATTATACTTAACAGACAATTAATGCTTCAATCAATAGTAACTATAATGTCTATTTGTATAAGTATTGCCTGGCATTATTAATTTCTACTTGTTAATATGTATTCGATAAATCAAAATTAAACATTTATGAACGTTTTATTTCGAATTTATTTCATCGAGAACAAGTCTTCAACAAAGGATGAAATAGGTGTTGCTAGAAAATTTATCATGCAACTTGTATTTCTACATAATTTTTATACAAAATATGGAAATTTAAAAAATTAGAGTCTTTTATATATCAAGGTTGAGATCAAGAATCGTCATAAGAAAAGATAGCTAGTTGATTTCTTTTTCTTTTGAAATAATATTACAAGAACTCGAAATATGTTCCATCCCGAAAACCATGATATTCCAAAGAAGTGTGTTTTGGAATTATGTTGTCTCACATATGAAAAATTCTAATACTAGTCCAAGGCTGATTATTTATACATTAAAGCTTCGAACAAATTAGCTGTCAGGACATGCATTATCACTGAAGAAGACTTTACATACCTTCTTGATTTATCAAAATTGAAGTTCAGACATTCAGTTGAGGCCTGAGAAATTGTCTGGCATGTAAGCGAATGCCCTTTATGAATGACATCGTGTGCAATGAACGCCTTTCACCTTTGACCAATCTTTCGCCCATACTTCGTGTAGATCTTTGTTTACACAGAAAACGAAGATCGTATCAAGTTGAGCCATATTGTGTATAAGTGGCACTGTCTTTTGTCCAAGCGACCCAGATGTAATTAAAAAAATGTTTTGACCATCGATACGTTTCAGGTATTCAATACATTGCTCGGCGTCAGTAAATAGATTTAATGTGACGACAATCTTTCGAAGCTCTATGATACACTGTTGAAAATGCTCTTTTTTCTCGTCGAGATTGGCATCGAGCCATACTACAAGGTAATTTTGTACGATTCTAGTAGTAGTTTTTTCGGTATCTTTTTTGGTTGCCACTGACACCTTTTTTGTACTGTGTTCGGTATAGCTAGCGCTACTAGCTGTGGTCGCTTTTTTCTCGGTACTATGCCCGGAATAATTAACCTTGCTGACTGTGTGTGAATTTTTGGAACCCATACGACACTGATTAATGAATTTTTACTACAGTAAGAAAAAAGCAATTATTGTATTCAATAACTAAAAAGGGTTATTTTAGATGACTGCGTTATCAGTGATGAGAACGATTACATCCACAGTCTTTTCCGGCTACTATCCATAATGTTTAACCCCATGAAAATTCTAGTGTCGTGAGCATTCCTTCGTCAATATCTAACTCCCAATTTCGTACAATGATCTGTGAAGCTTCTCATATTTTATTTATCGCTCTTATTTGATAATAATTTCAGAAAAAGAATTATTTTCTAGTCGGTACTTCATGAAGTTCCCCACTATTTACTCAAGTTTAGTTTAAAGATAAAACACTTCAATTTTGTTTGAGACAAATTTTGGCAATAATCGCATCTATGGAATTCGAGAAGTCAATATAAGGAAAGCATTAAGATGTTCAAACTGTATTGACCACGGGGAAAAAGGTGGATTCAAGATTCCCATGGAAGTCCATGAATTCTCGGAATTTTTATAATAACAAATGGCATTCCAGAAATTCATATTTAACCTTTACGATCCTCACTCTAGCCCTGAAAATCTGATAGAACTCAGTGCCAAGGCTTCATTGTTTTATCAAATGGCTTGAAAAGCTGCACACAGCTATTGAAGAAAATCATTTCCTAGGCGAACTTTTTTTTTCATATGCTTGACCCCTGTTCAGATATCAAGATTTGTCCACAGCACATGACACTCTTGCTCCAAATGCTTATGTATTTCATGCGCATTCCCCAAGATAGTTCACTAGGGTTATCTATTATAAAATTCTAGGCACTTAATCTAATTAGATGGGTATCAAGTCCATTTTGACAATACGACAGTTTTCTTTCTTATTTTTAAGAGAAAATATTCGAAGTAGAATAACAAATAGCAGCAAGCAATAAGATACATCAATGAGATACAAGAAATATGTTGAATCAAATGAATTTATGGCATCTTATATGTAACTTTTTATTCATTCCGTAATCTGACAGTTGAACATGCTTAAAGCAATCAGGTAGCAGTACAGCCTTTCTGTCGACTAAAAGATAAGAGGCTCTCTATCTATGACTGTATTGTTTTTGGCATTAATTTTGACACAAAAGAAAAATAGTTTGAAAGTGAAGAAAAAAATGGGTTCGGAGACTCTTATTGTATGAAATTGAGATTTATCGCTAGTTGACACGGAAGACGAATTATAAATTTTGTCTTAGAATCAGCTATATTTCTCTGATTTGAATATAAAAAAGCAACATTAGACTTAAAATACTAGTTTGACTATTGATCCAATGAGTTGTAACGATTTTCGTCAAATTAGACAATACGAACTTTTTTTACACAAGATTCGTATAATTGATCTATTTTGTTTTATCAAAGATTCTCTTGTTTTCTTCTAAACAAAATTAAAATTAAATCCGAAAAGAAGATTATAGGCCAGATTATAAACTTGGCAAATAGTCTTTTCAAAATTATCACAAAGGAGAAGATCATGAGATCATTTTGAAGCTGATTGTTTCGCAATCATCTTTTTCTTATCTTGTGTGGCATTTTTGAAAATTTTAATGAAAAGTTCAACGCACGGAATTTGGATAGGAACAAAGCAGACTCTGCATGCACCAGAATGCCTGAAATTCGCCCGAATATTCAAGATCTTCATTGAGTTCCGCACCTCTATCCTTTTTGTTCTCTAGTAGTCAAGTCATTACTAAGTCAGAAAAAGTTTTTCATAAGATATGCATCAATACTAGAGACAAAAAAGCTCTTGTTTTATTTTCCTTTTTCCGTGAAAGGGTAGTAAAAATCAAAGTAATATCGATCAGAACTAACCCGTTACATTTTCTCATTAGTCATGTCTATTTTATTAAACGAGCCGGATAATGAATTAATATAAGCTCATCGATTAGTATATTGTTCCAATCATGTGGCAAAAAGTCAATAGATTATTTGCCCGTTTTCTTTTTTGTATTAATATTCACGGATAAATCATTATTGATCAGTCTAGGAAGAATAGTGTTGGTTGCAGAGCTACGACTTACTAAGTATTAGATAAGATGAAAAGGCCGCAAGTTGGTCTGCGGAGCTAGTCTCTTATTTCAATTGCAACTATATATGTTATGTTGAATTTAAAGTTGTAGTCCGATTCATCATTCTATGAATCAATATG